GGCTGACAAACTCTATAAAATGCCAGACAGTATCAATAAATATTTTTGGTTTTGTGGGCCATATGGTCTGTTTCATTTCTTCAACTCTGCTGTTGAAGTGCGAAAGTGGCAACAGACAATATGTAAACAAATGATCATTGCTGTGTTCCAATAAAACTTTGTTATTTTCTTTCCAATATTTTAGATCTGTGGTTGGTTGAATCCACAGATGTGGACCCGATAAGCTGACTGTATTTCAACTCTTTATTTGTGAAGTGGTTATAGTACCTATTCTTTCCTTCTGATAAAAACACCACAGATAGAAAGTCGAACTCATGTGTGTCGCTTAGAGATAAGACAACAAAATCACAACTATCCAGAACCCTAGGAAGGAGAGCTTATGCTGGATAAATAAATGGGTGTTTACTTTTTAGACCTGATAGAACATTTCCAGTGCGTTGTAACTTCTGAAGGATGGGTAGGTTTGAAAGTTAATGCGAAAAGTCTTAAGTACCTTAACTAGCCTTTAACTCGGTATAACTACAATTACACTTGAAAGTTTCTCTAAAAGCTCATAAAATAGAGCTGTGCAACAGTAATTCTTGTGCCCACGAAGTAAGGAGCAGGACTAAAGGCAGGGCAAAAGGAAAGCCTGTGTGCGTTTGCCCCACATTCTATCATTCCATTAGGACCGCAGCCCTTGGAGAGTGCCGACGGGTAGAACCCTGGTGCAGTCACAGCACGGAGTGGCAGACATCATTTTGCTTTAATACTAAAATGCTGTAATTGCTTCACACTTGTTAAAAGATGTGTTACTTCGCTGGACGTGGTGGCTCACGCCTGTAATCCCAGTGCTTTGGAGGCGAAGGCAGTAGGATTACTTGAGCTCAGGAGTTTGAGACTAGCTTGGGCAACACAGTGAGACCCCATCTCTTTTTAAAAATTATTGTGCATTTTATAATAAAAAAATTTAAAAAGATAACAAAAAAGTGTTACTGAAGGAGAAACCAATGAAGTTCCGAATAACAGATTAAATTAGCTCTAAAACTGAATCTCCATTTGATGTAATTCCACTTTACTAAACGTTTGAGTCAGTTTCTAAGTTAACGTTCTCCTTCTTTTTAAACAGAACATCCTGAATATAGTGATCCGTCTTTAATGTGTCAGGTTCATGTTACCATTATTGGTAACTAATGACTGACCATGATGCAGTGCTGTGGTAGTGGAGCTCTCAACGCTTACTGAAGTGATTAAGGATATTTGTGTCTACACCACATGAGCCCAGGTTTTTCAGCAGCACTATTTTTTATATCCAAAGTTTTCCATGTTAATCCAGAAAAGCATAAATTCCAAATCTTTAATTTAAAGTACTGTGATAAGCATATGCCCTGGGTGGCACCAAGGCTACCGGAGAGCTGTGTTGTTTTCTGGGGAGTAGTAACTCACTCACTGTGTCCTTCCACTGGGCATGTGTCACTGTCTCAGTTGTGCAGGGATATGGAGAAGCAGATTGGTGAGAGGGCGGTGAGGTTAATGTATCCCAGCTCACACCTATTCTTTCACTGCCTCAAGAATGAATCCCTGAGGATATTAATGAACACGTTAACAATCTAGAAACAAATAATCTGGAGTGAGTAATTCTGTTACCCGAATCAATGAGAAATAAATGATCCAATGCACTCACTTTCCACCTCCACTAATCATTCCTGTTCTAGTTTTTAACTTTGTTTTACCAAAAGAAGGAATACCACTTCCTCCCGTTTTCCCCTGTGGTCATAGTGGTGTTATCATGAGTGCCAGAGATGTGTTCTGCAGACTTGACCACGGTGCATGCAGACTGTGTGTACACATGTAGCCCCACACCAGCAGTCCAGGCAGTTTCCCGCTCACCTCTCTGTTTGGAAGGCTCCTCCTCCTCCGTCGGCTCTGACGGGTCATAATAGTCGCTACCGTAAGTGAACCCCACGGCATTGTAGCTCCCATCCTCTGCTAGTGCTTCACTCAATCGCTTGTATTCTTCCTCTTGAATAAAAATGAGAATTTTATCAACAAAAATAGAAAATTACTGAGAAAAACTTTTATTTCTAAAGTTGTAGCTATCAGTAAAGCATACAACATACTTTTTTCAACCTCCTTTTGAGGTAAAATATTTTTTAAAATTCACACTTTATATCTATCAATATGTACTTTTGTCAGTACATGTTTACCCACAGACAGCTGAATACACGTCTTTTGTGGAAAATTTCTTCCTGCTGAGAAAATCTTGGGATTAAGAACTGTATTAAAGATTGTTACGGCAAAGACAAGAACATCAATTTTATTTATACGATACTGTTAAAGAAGAACAGTTAAAGAGTTTGGTTTTTGTTTTTTTCAAATCCCAGTCTGCCCTCAAAAGCTGGGAAAATTCTTTGTGGCTCTATTTATAAACTATCCTGAGGTCCTCTCAGAACGCAAAGACTCCTGTTTTTCCAATCCACTGGGTACTGTCAAGATAATATCAGAAAGAGTGAGTATAAAAAAATGAATGGGAGTAAATTTTTAAATACTTAAAAATTTTAAAAAGTTTGTTGCTGAAGTAAGTTTGTCTTGAGCAGTACCTTGCCTTGCCTCCTCCTCAAGCAAGTCCGTATGCAAGGCTAAATACCTCTCTTCATCACACAGGGCCTCTATTCGCGCCTCCTCTTCAGACAGCTGATAATCTCTGTTCCACGTGGAATACTCAGCATCGTACTCAGAAAGGTCATGCAGGTGACCACGTCCATCATATCTGTAATGTGAACAAACTGGTCAATAAAAGGAAATTAACGTCTAGACTGGCGTGTGTGTGTGTGTTTTTTATATATATATACACACATACTTACCGATTAAAATAAATAAAAATATTAAAACAAGTATAAAAACTCTTCCCAGGTTTACATTTAATTTGGATAGTCATATCTCACCTACTTTTAAACTCAAGTTATCTTAACAAAGTCTAAATTCCTTTCCACAGTAAGATAACATTTATAACTAAAGGCAAACAATCCATTATTAGGAAAAATGGTATCCACTTCACTGGCAGTTCTTACCATTATGGTTTGGTCAACCATTCAATGCCACTTGCAAAAAATTATTATTTTTTTCTGGAAAGTTAAATATCATAGCTTACATTCACACAAACCAAATACATAAATACCTATCCGTAAGAACCAAACGGTCGAAATTTCCTCGCTTCTTTCTGCTAGTCCCGAACTCTCAGGAGAGATCTTCACCAAAGAAACTTGCGTCCATTGGAGGTAAAATCTTGGCTAGGCTCGCCCCCTAGCCACTTGGCTGAGGAAATAAGTGCTGGGTTATGTGATAGAGAGACACACATACATCGGAACAGTGACATATACATGCAGTTTAAGGAGGTTCACTGGCAACAGAGCAAAACTATTAGAAGATACGGTATCAATATTTCCTTCTGAACTTTATACCCGCAGGAAGTAACATACATGAAGACACTTCCATGTTTCTCTTGCATGGACCAATCAGTAATTTAGCCAAACAATGGGAGCACTTTCTGCTATGCTTTTAACATAAACGATCCAATGAGGATGCTGTCAACGTGTAAAACTGTCAGATAATAAATGAGTGAGTTAGTGAATTTTACTTAAAACACCCAGATTTAGGGTTTCAAAAACAAACGTAGAGAAACAAACAAAAGTCTGCTTATTTTTTAAATGCTGACTTTTGTAATGGGAACCAAAAATATTAATGTAGACCAAAAAAGACATTTACAAGAAAAAGGCCCAAAATTCCAGGGTAGTCAAGTTACTGCATTTTATTAAATTTCAAAATTAATTGGACTTTGATGTAAACCTCCTTAACTTACAAATGTAGATTATTATTAAAAATACTATACATGTACATGTGCGGCGTTTGCTCCCCACCAGTTTTGGAAGACCTAACTCAAATCATGTACAGAATGATAGGAAAACTGTACAAAGAGCTCAGACTTCATTGCTTACCAAACTTTAATGATAAATATCACAAGTGACACTTTGGAAAAGCAAGCCTGATAACTCAGGTGACACATTCAATATAAACCATGGTGTGAAGGCACAGCAGGCTTGAGCGGAGCACGGAGCCATCAGATCCAGGCATGATCTGATTCCGCGGCCCTCCCTTCACCAGTTCTTGTTTTCTAGCTCTAATTCCAAGTGGAAACGTCAGGGATGGAAAAAGGCCTATTTGGTCATTAATGTGTCCATTCTGGCCAGCTCAGAAGTCATCCCTACGGTCATGTTCCAGGGCTTTGAAGAATCCAGTTTTAATGGTCTCAAACGATGGGCTTTCTTCACGTGGAGAGACTATTCCACAGTTTAATGGTTGGTCATGGTTAGCTTTTCAGTCCGGGCCCCAGAAGTAGCCAAACAGGCAAAAAAGAAAAAAAACCACCCCACAACAACCCCAAAACCCAGAGACAAGGGGAAGGGGGAATTGAAAAAATGGGAAGAGGGGAGCAAACCACCTACATCATGTAACGTTATCCTTTTCAAATCAAACGCCTTTAGAAATCCCTAATCCCAGGCCCCCACTGCCCATAATGGCTAGACACCCTCGAGTGACGACCTAAAGCAGGTTTGATTTGAAAAGAAACAACACATCTATATCCCAGCTCCACCCTTCGGTTTTAAGAGACAGTGAAACCAGCCCTAAGAACACTATCTCCTCCAAGTGCAAGGCCAGGGTCCGCACGAAGTCAACTGGCCGCCAACTGACAGGCAACTTCGCTCACTACCTCAATCTGTCGAACTCGTCGGATTATCACCAGGAAGTCAAACGTCATGCCGTTAAAGTACCGGCGCTCCACTGAGGGCGCTGGGGTCGTAACAGGTTAAGGCTAACTCACAGGGTCCAAAAGAGACTTCTAGCCACGGTCTCAGTGAGCGGCGGTTCGGAAGAAGAAAGGCACGCCTCCCAGGCTACCCTCCCAGTACACCGAGCAGTGGGAGCGCGGCGAGTAGAAAAGCAGCGCGCGACCCCATGGCATCGCCGGGCGGCAGGCCCAGGTGCGCTCAGAAGCAGACCCTGGGCACTGGCAGCTTTCACCGCGCGGAATCGCCGACTGCAGCCCAGCGACAGGGTGAGGGGTCGAGGGGGCTGCGGGACCAAAGACGATCCCTCCGGAGACGGACGCGGCACGCAATTCCAGCCAGTGCCTTAGGGCAGGTTTCACCGTCCCCCTCCCCACCAGAACACCAGCAGGAGGTGGGGACAGGGGAGGGGGTGTCCCCCAGATCCCCGCTGGCTCCAGAAAACCCTCTGCAGTCCTTGCAGTCAAGTCAACATCAGACGAGATCAAGCGGGTGAGGGAAGGGGAGGATCGACGGGTGGGGGGAGGAACCGACCTGTCGATGAGGATCTTGTGGTCCCCCATCCAGGGGATGAGGTGCTGTCCCTGTTCCTGAGCCAGGGCCCGCTCGTCGTCCCGGAACAGCTTGCAGGCATAGCCGAAAACCAAGAGCTCCACTCGGCTGCCCCCACCGCCGGCACCGCCTGGCCCGGCCTCCTCCTTCGCGCCACTTTTCCTCTCGGGTTTGGCGCGGCCCCCGCCCGCGCCGTACATGACAGCGTCCCCGGCGTCCAGGCTGGTCCTCTTCTGTGCCGCGCGACGTCCCTGATACCTCCACTTGGCCTACCCCTTCAGTCAAATGCCCCGCATCCCGGACCCAACCTCAACACCGCCGCCATAGCGGGCCACAAAATGGTGGAGGGGCAGCTTCCGGCAGGAGGGCCCGCATTTCCGGCGAGCGGACAGGCAGATTCGTCATGGCTCAAAGCTCTTTTAGCCGCTAGGAAATATTTTGGCGTTAATTTTCGCGTTCAGATGCGCCGCCACAATAGGTGCTGCTGTATTCAGTGCAAAGTGCAATTTTAATGTTCGTTTTATCGGGCAGCCGTCAGGAGAGTGACGAAAGCGCGGCGTGGGATCGCGCGCCGGCTTCCGCTGCGGCCAGTCTGGCGGCGACGGAGTCAGAGGGAGGGGCCTTGCGCGCTCTAGGCCTTGGGCGAGTCCTTGTGGGTGGCCCTGCCGCGGGTGTGGAGGCCTCGGGTCCACCCCGGGCCGCCGCGCCCCTCACCGTGTCCCGGTCGCTGCGGCCATGCGTGCTCTGCCCAGGGCGGCGATGTCCTTTTCCTTGGCCCCCTTCTTCATCCCTAGGGGGAC